GGACAATTTTGGTACCAAAGTGATAAGTTGAGGGACTAAAATGGTACTTAAACCTCTATTTTATCCCAAAATCCTTCTCCTTATAAAAAATGAAAAATTAAGATATTTAATAATAGACATATGATGAACATAGTAAACTTAGAATTCACATTATATTTTATATGTATATTTATATATATATATTTTTGAACATTTTGACAAAGGTGAGTTCGAAACTCGTTCAAGGTAGAAGAGGATGCATCTATTTAATAATTAATGCTATTAGGCCTCTACGGTCATGTGCTACATTATATTTTATATATTTAATAGTTATAATTATATATTTTCACAATTTTAATATTAGTATGTTTTGATTTTATTATTATTATTATTATTTAGTTTATTTACAAAATATAATTTTTTAAATCACATTGGGCTAGTCCAAGTCCTTTAACATCGTAGCGCAAGCCAGCATGACCCATCATGATAGGCTTCAGGCTTCAAGAACGAAAGAAAGAAAGAGAAGAGAATGCCAAACCCTTAAAAACCCAATATGGCCCAATATCCCCCTCGGTAGTTAGGGAGTATGAAAAACGAAGAAATTGTCTTCCTCTCTCCCAAAGAGGTTTTGTTATTGAATTTTTGCCTAGACTTTTTTGATGAATTTTATTGAGTTTTGCCCATAATGGAGAATAAAGACAATATAGATTTGAGGCTAGAAGGGTTCAATTTGATTATAGCACTTTCTTTTGTTGTCAATGATATAATCAAGAATTAGGGTCATTGACTAATCTTTTACTCTAAAAATTATAATTATATACTTAAAAAAAAGTAATATAATAGGTGTAGTTATTAGAAACGATATGAAAGCCTAAGGGTAACCTTTCTACGTGTTTATATAATCCTATTGGTACCCTATAATGACTATTGATACTTTGAGGCTCTTTGTATTAGAGCTTTAAAACCTTTCTAATATTTTTACCTTTTTTGGTTAGGTTATATAGCAAGAGCTATATGATAAGAATATAACATGAACTGTATCACTTTTGATCTTTTAAATAAAACTATACTTTTCTATTAAAAAGAGTGTACTCCCTAAATCATATTTTGTGCCAAAAACTTTGCACCTCAAATAGTTTTCGAAAACTTTGAAAAAAATTGTGTAGAAAAATATTAAATATAAGGCTAATAAATACAAACTAAATAAAAAATGAATAATTCTGAACTTCAAAAATATTATTCAAAAAGAAAAAAATCTCTCTTTATATACTCGAAGCAGGAGAACGGAAAGTTCATAACATATTCTACTTGGAGGGATTTAGATATGAGAGTGTTCATAACCATACTCCGGTTAGCAACCCCACCACTTAATTCAAACCCTCTGCACACAACAAGAGATGTGTTACACACCCATGGGACTGAAACAGTGAATCCAAGGCCCATCTCCTGTTTCCCTTTGGAACAATGTGAGTCGGAAGCCAGGGCCTCCTTGTATGCTTGGCAAACACTCGAGACATACTTCCCCATTGGGGTTAGCTGCTGATGTGAGTATGAAGTGTAGTCGTTATGATACAAGGTATCAGCGTCAGAGTGAAGGTTCACCACCACGGTTCCATGTTCAGGGTGCAGTTGGTCACGGAGAGATCTGAGAAACAGAGAATCTGGGTCCCAGAGCTTCCGAGGGAAGATGTCATCTCCATCATAAGCGTCAATGAAGACCATGTCGTAGAGATTGTTGTTCTCTAAGACAAACTGCTCGGCATCTGATTCGTATAGGTAAAGCCTTTCCTGGATGCCCTTCCACAGTACTTCATCCAGGATACTGGGTTTTGACATTGCCCGCTCACCTGATGGAGTCATGATTGAGAAAGCTGGAAAGCCCATTGCTTGGATTGATGATGCTATAACAAGGGGGTCAATTTCAACGATGTGAACAATAGCACCTGGTACAAGCATATAGAATCAATGTCAAATCAATGTCCTCAAATAATCAAATAAGATAATTCAAAACATAAAGAAAGACAAGCAAGTAGCAGAGAGCACATTTCCTTGCATCAGTCCTACATTATCTTCACTTTGGAAGGGAAAGAATGCAACATAGCTAATAATAACATTAAAAATAAAAATGGCATTTTTAAGTTGACATTCAGATACATAGTGATTATCTTGCCTGTTTTTCTGTTAGCTGGTGGACTGATAAAACAGATGAAACCATGCAATAACCTCATATGTGTCAATTTTTCTGAGTTTTACTTCTGTGATTTGACCTACACTTTGATTTTTCCATTTATTTTACAAAAGCAGCAAATTTTTTCAAGTTTAACACTTGTCAACCAAAGATAACAATCAATGCAGAAGGTTGTTTGGATAAGAAATTGCACAAAGTAGATCAATGCCAAATTTATTAAAAAAAAAGAAGAAGAAGAAAAAAGTATAACACTTATAGTGATGATGAGTCTGGCACGTTTAATGTTTGATTTAATAATTGGTAGGCTGCAAGTTATTCTGCTCAAATAAATTGTAAATTGCAATTCCCAATTATCAATAATCATGCCTTAGAAAGTAAGCATAGAAAAGGAAAGCAAAAGCTCACCTTTAATCTTACTAGCCAGAAATAATGGCAAGCTTCCCCCACCATGACCAATACATAAAATATGCATTCTTGTCTTCCCACGTACTGCAGCATTTAGATCATAACCACAAGATGCTAGAGTAGACAACCCAACTGCTACCATACTCTTGAGATCTGCAAAATGCAACCAAAAGGATAAAATAAATACAGGAAGGAAAAGAAGGGAGCATGAAATTAACTCACAAAAGCAACAAGAAATATAGACATAAAATTGACAAAGAACTTTTTATGACACAACCTAACCTTCCCTAACCAAATATTATATCATATAAATGATTAATTTAGAAAGAAAAGATTTCAGGATTCCCAACATCACAGGTCACTATAGTTATCTTCAAACAAAAACTTGATGTTGGAATTGGAAGCAATAGCAATACACATCTACAGGCTTTAGAAGATAACCATTTAGGAGTAAGTTAGAGGATATATCATATTGACTAAGTCCATGGAATCAAATGAGAGCAGAAAAGATACTCAAGATTTGTTTAAATCATGTAGACTTGAAAGATCCTCTCACAATAAGATCTGTGGAAATGAATGAAAGAGTTTATCACAAAAGAATTAGAAGAGTAGTTACTGGATAGGGTAAGGGAGACTAGAACAAACACATGATTGAGACAGAGTAACAGCCACTTTGACATAAAAGTGGAAAGGCTATCATAAATATATAATGCCTGAAGCACTAGTTAGAGTATTTTGGTGAGATAGGACAAAATTCAGAGAAGAAATAGAGAAGCAAATTACATGGAACAGCCAGACAATGTGATTGCTGCATTAAAAATATAGACCCGGGTTCGGTTTCCCGGTAAGCAGCCATGATCTTAACAGTGCTTTGACGAGTATTATCATTAAATCGAAGGACACGCCACTGATATCCAAGTATCCTAAAGGGTTGATCTTGTTCATAACCAGGATGTATCTGTGCATATCTTTGCTGAAGCCACTTTTCTGTTTCAGTCCAGTAAACCTTATTCTGCAAAATGGAAAGCAACAACAAAATTATGTCAGAGATGACCAAGATAAATTCTTAGCACAAAATAATTTCAGTCTAATAGTGAAAGATATAAATCAACCTTCTTCTACAAAACCCCATTTACTTTGTCTCAATTGAGATGATTATCATAGCATCCTTTCTTTAATATCTAAAACTACAGTAATACATAAATAATGATCAGTTTCAGTGAAACCCAAATTCCAGAAGGAGCAAAAAAATAAACTTGAAATTACATATGGGAATTCATCAAGAACCAAATTGAAAAAAGCAATCAAGGTTAAGGGCATAAGCATGTAAACAGACAAAATTACTCCTTGGAAACAAATAACAATAAGCCATAAAACAGAGATGAAAAGGGGAACTAACGGGTTTAGAAGAAGGGTAAGCAAGGACGGAAACGACGCCATTTCCCTTACTGGAGGTAGAGCGGAGAACGGTGTTGCCATGGTATTCGGATTCGGAATCCGACCCCCACCATTCCGATGAGTAAAACCAGTCACCCTCGTCCTCTGTACGGCGCCGCACCGCCGTGGACAACCGCCTCAAGCTCCGTTGCCAGCCCAATCGCGCTTTGCGCCACATTACTGCAGTAACATAAACCCTAAAGGCAAGAAAAGCTTAAATCCCAAAGTTTTGAGCTTTCACTTCAGCTTCTTCAAAAATGCACCGGCAGGTCGCAGCCGTCACGGTCACCGTCAACGTAGCGTAAATACAGTTTTATGCCCCCAAACTTAGGTTTGTTCTCAAATGTGCGCCCAACTTTTATTTTCTTCCAAAGTGCCCCCGAACCTCCCAATGTCATTCATAAATCTAGTGTTAAGGTCCGTTTGGAATTATTGTAAAGTACTATAACTTGCT